TAGGCTCCACTTTTAGTCCAATTCGCTATGAAACTGTTCCCTGTTCGCTGGAGCAGACCACCAATTTTCTGCTTGAAAGTCGGAGGAGTTTTGCTAAAGGAAGGAAACAAATTAGTACTGATTCTATATCCCTTTCTTCTTAATCCTCCAATTTATGTGTATAGATTAATGCATGTTCTTTTTGATTTGTTGAAAATGTGTTTACATTTCTAGCACTTAAGGTGTCTGGTTAATGAAGTAGGTTGAGAATCGTGAGGTTTCAGATTCAAATTTGATTTTAACAGAGACATAAACACTTGGTGATTTCTTTCCATCTGTCTCGGCCTTGGTGGCCGAGTTATATGGTACTTGTTGCTGTTGGAGGTGGCAAGTATCCATGGAATTAGTCCGAGGTGTGCGTAAGCTGGCCCAAACACCACAATTAGATAAAAAAAACGAGTTTACATTTCTAACTCACCAAACTAATTGCTTAGTAAAGAAGAAGCAAGGTTTCATGATTTTGTATATGAAAAAAGAGTTCAAGTAATTGTATATATACACAATCGGGTCATTTATAAGTATATATAGGTAACTGAAAATATCGATATGATAAGCAGTAATCAATAATCTGTTAAAACAGGGGTAATTAACAAGCAAGGGGTTTGCCTTCTGGGTCGAGCTCGTGCACCGGGCTTGCCTAGTGCAGGTTACCTCTCCTGTGTGATTTACTATTGGATAGGAGCGGAGGTTTTACCTTGTGCGCACTCAAAGGGTAGCGGCTGCGGGTTTCCCTTGTCATAAAAAGAAGAAGAAGAAGGGGTAATTAACCTACTATCTATATAACTTAAATCCTTTGAAAAATGAGTTTGGCTTGTATACATTACACCGATGGTGTAAAGAATCTTTTAAACTATGAGGCCAATCAAAGAATGTCATGAAAAATGTGATTTGTAATCTTGAATTACCAGAATAGGAAAGGTTACCTGATAGTATAAGAATTCTTTTTACCATCAGTGGAATTAGTCAAACTCATAATATATGTTAGAATACATTACAACTACTTAAAGGGTTGGGCACACTTTTAATTTCCATTAATATCATGTGTGAGTTTTCTCTTGTTTAGGTTTGTTGCTCTTCATCTGGGTTATTGTTATAATTTGTAATGATGGAACCTTTCTATTTTTGGTATAAGTTTGGAGGAAATATAATATCGATTGATGATTGAATGTTCTTTGTATAAATCATCTCTTTTGAGGCAGCATGCTTGAAGTTTCTGACCTCTTGCAATCTGTTGTTTGATGAATTTGTAGGGGATGAGGTAGATGGCGATGATTATGGAAGTGTAACCACAGCTGTAAACGTAGGTCCTAACATTAAAGCTACTGCTGTCTCACAGATGGAGGCAGCAATTGATGCATTATCACGAGAATTGACCAAGCTGCGAACTGGAAGAGCATCGGCTGGTACATGATATCAACTTCTGTTGTAATACAAGTTACCTTGTTTGCCTTCGATTGTACTCATTCGTTTAGCTTCTTGGATTCACAGGGATGCTTGATCATATCATTGTTGATTCAGGAGGTGTTAAGACACCTCTTTGCAGGATGGCTGTCATTTCAGTGCTAGACCCAAAAACCTTGTCAGTGAATCCTTATGATCCAGATGTAATGTTATACACTTAAACTCATATGCATATACTGTCTGATTTTCGATATTTTTTCCATTTGTATTCGTCTTACTTGATTAATGGAACATTTCTTTATATTTATTCGGAGTGCAAAGAAATTGAAACTGAATTGTACTTTTGATAAATATGCTCCATGATTAACTGTGATTGTCTTTTGCAGTCCCTCAAAGAGTTGGAGAAAGCCATTATTTCATCTCCATTGGGGTTAAATCCTCAATCCGACAACCAGAGATTAATTGTACCAATACCTCCGTAAGTATCCATTTGAAAGAGTTAATTCTTTGTCATCAAAAAAGTATTCATTTGAAAGAGTAAAATAGTCTCTTCTTGTTTTTGGATCCATGATCCATCTATTAGTCAGGTGACTATGTCAAAAATAGAAGCAAAAACTTAATTTTGATCTCGACTTGATAGTATTACTATAACTTTCATGTTGCCAGTATTTACTTGTAGAATGGCTTGAAGTACATTGTGTTGATGTAGAAAAAACATCATTATAACACTTCTTCAAACTAATCATTCTTCCCAGGGATATAACTACTTCAGGCAATTAATTGTTATGCTACTTTGCTATTTGCATAAGCAACATTTTTGTGATATTCAATGTGCAGTAAGAACTTTATGTCCTTTAAGATTTTCAGTGCTTTTTGACTCACTCTTTCTTCTTTTCCTGGCAATCCGTGCAACAAGCAGGTTGACTAAGGAGCATGTGCAGGTGATCCTTGTCAATTTCAGTTCTTTTTAAATGTTTCTGTTGCTGATAGTGTCATCCTCTTTACTAGGCTGTGTGCAAAGTGGTTGCGAAATCATCTGAAGACGTTAAGCAAAGTATAAGACGAGCGCGCCAGAAGGTACACCGTTGACCAAACACCTCTTTGTATATCTCCTTTTCCCCTTTTTACATCCATAAACAAGGCTAAAAGCAAAATAAAGGAGCCCTAACAGCAGAAAAGTGCTCATTTCATCCTATCGAAATATAAAACCCCAAAAGCTTATATATAAGGAATAAGGGGAAACAGAAGACCTTAAAAATGGAGCAGCATTGGAAGAAAAGACAGGGTGATTGGACGATGGATGGGATCACATCCATGTCATCCAAAAGGGTAAAATAACTGAGATACATAAGGGTGGGGGGCAAAGGAGAGAGAATGGATAAATACGTAAGGATTTTGGGTAGCTCTTTTAGGTTGAAAAAAAACATATGATGAGATTAGTATAGTAGTTGCACATATATTTTATAAAACTTGCTGATTGCGACTGACCAGAAATATGGTTCTAGCCAGCTCAAGCTCATTAAAAGTTGGGAAAGAGTCAGGCCCTAGATATTCATGATTTGTGCTGTATTCTGTGCAGCCCTAAATGTGAGTCGTTTGTTCAAATGCTGCTCTACAGTATACACTAGACAATTGCATTTGGCTATTACTGAAGTCCTAGATGACGACCACTAAATTCTCATAAGAATTCAGTTAAGTAGTACTCTTGAAATTGAGGGACATGTTGTGCACTTTCTATTTTTATGTCTTTTTGACTTCCAAGAGCATAAAAGATCCAAATCTGTATTGGCGATTCATGTAGCTCACCTCAACTCAACTTGTTTTTGATAGAGGTGTAGCAGTACTAGTAGTTGTTGTCGTCGTCTTTGTAGAGCAACTAAATTTATAAGTAATTAAGGAGCCAAAAATCAAATTTCTCTTACTAATCCTAAAAAAGGGAACCAATATTTATTAGTGTTACGGAGCCAACAAGCTGAAGAAAAGCTTAGGCATGATGGTTGTGTGTGTGCAATATCAAAATGAAACTGGAGGTATGTTGGACTTGGTTATTGCTGGGTAACAAAGACCTGACTTTCTGTTTCAGGTGTGTTAATGTGATTTGGGTGTGGAGAGCTTGAAAAGTAAATGGCTACTAACGGTAGTGCTTTAGAGGGGTTATATTTTGTAGTACTGTAGTTGAATTCTGGTAGTATCTGGTTGCAGCAATGTCTAGGGAAAGGTGCTTTAGAGGATATTCTTGTAAAAAATAAGGTTTAATGGCCAAACTACAGGAACAAGAGAGAAGGAATATTGGCATTGCGAGAGGCTTAACATTCTAGTTCCTTTTTAGTTAGAGAAGTGAAGGAGGAAAACAAAAATATCTAAGAGAGAAAACGTGAGAAGTTCCAACTTTGGAGATGCTAAATGAATGATCACTTAGTTCATTAACCTTCAACCCAGTTTGGCCACCAACAAGAGGTTACTGTAGTTTTCAGTATGCTGTCCTCTATTAGCAAATTAATGGAGCTCTTCCAGTAGTTTCTTGTTTGGAGTTGAGGGAAACATCTTTGTTCAAAAGTTGTGTGTGTTATGCTTATAGGAAGTCCACGATACTCTCCTCGCATGACTTGGGCTGTACTGAAGAAGACGTGGTCAATTACCTTTTTTGTCACCTATCATTTATGAGGTCGAACGTTTATATTCCATTTTCTCCATGCAAGACAGCTGCACGACCGGTAGTATTGCTCCTAGATTCATTGGTGAACTCAATCCCCACCTCCCAAATAAACGGAAGTAAAGAATGGGATAAATGATGTTGAGCTGATGAAAACAGTCATGCATGTAGATTTTGCTTGGATATAACCGAAGAATTTATGTGAAGTACAGATGTCTTCATGTCGATACTACAAGATGTTAATTCCCTTTTTATCAGGCTTTGGACACGATAAAGAAATCTGTGCCCAAGAAGAAAGACAAAGACAAGTCAGCTTCAGCTTTCTCAGATGACGATGCAAAAAGACTAGAGAAGGAAGTACGTTATATTTACTTGTTTGCTGAAAAAATCGCTATGGGCTGTATAATTTATATTCTATTCTCTACTGCCTCTTTCATTTGGTTTTGTGCTTGTTCTTTCAGATTGATGACTTGACTAAAAAGTTTATTAAGTCAGCAGAAGATATGTGCAAGTCAAAGGACAAAGAAATAACTAGCAGTTGAAGAAACTAATTTTCGTTTCAACGGAGGCTCATGCAAAGGTTCAATTTTTGGCTGAAGCTATAGAGGGAACTATTTACGCTCCAGAATTATTGTACTCGAAGTCGGAAAAAGATAACAAGACATGTTACAAGTGATTATGCTGATACTTGAAAGGAAAAATATTGTATTTCGTATAACCTATGCTGTTGGTTTTTAGCTTTTTATGTTCAGGATCATATATCATTTCATTTTGTGACAAGGGTTGAGATTATGTAATATTTTTTTTTTATAAATTAAACAACCATTTGTTCTCTTTCTCTTCTACAAGAATCATTATATACAACCAATGTATAACACTGTCTGTAGACACGATAACTCTCGATAGATGGAAGACAATGGTAACAATATTACAGACTCATACATGTCTACATTACTGCAAAATTATCACTACCAGGATCAATTATCTGGTAGCTGCATAACGAAAGTAATATCGCGGAAGCCATGATTTGTAAAACTCCAAAAACAGGGTTGGTTTAGACCAGCAGTACCCTACATAATTCATATCACAGCAGATAAAACTACAACATGAAAAAATTCAAACCATAACTTGCTTCAGTTTGCAGTACAAGGTTCAATCTTTTTGACATGAACATTGCCGTCATAGTCAATTTTGTAGGAGGTGTCGAGGCCTTCCAAAATAAGGTGGTAAACAATATCATCAGAAAAATGAACTTCCTCTTGACTGTCGTCATCTTCAAGCGTTGCATTATTCATGCTGCTATTTTCAGTCTTATGAGGTCGAATTCTCTGAGATACTGATCGTATGTCCCATGACAGCACTTGTTGAATTAAGTTTTGAAATTCAGTAGGAGATGTATAAAGTGATATCTCGGTTTTCTTCTTCTTCTGTATTTTTCTTGACCAACAATGGTTCAGAGAGGCAGAGAAGTCGTGAGAGAAGCTAACAGATGTTATAGCTAACATATTATCCGCCTTTACCCAATCGGGGACCATTGCACCAGGGATGCTATCACAGTATGGAAGATATGGCTTGATGTCAAGGACGGGAGTTCCATCAACTAAATCAACACCAGAAATGAAAACTTTATTCCCATCCACAATATCAACCTTTGCAACAGTGAGGCCTATAGGGCATGGGCGATGAGGAGATCTTGTCGCAAAGACCCCCATCCTTTCTCCTTTCAGCCTTGGTACTCTTACCTTTGCCTTGAACTTAGACCGCGATGGATGTTTCCATAACTTGTCAAGATCCGTATTTAGATGAAACACATAAATTATCCAACAATGTGAATAGCCTTCAAGACCTTCAAGAGATGCAGGTGGAACTCGAGTTGGATCAAATACTAGACATGCTTTAGCAAGTGGTACAACCAAAGGTTGCCTCGGAGTCCCATTCCTAATCACAATTATTAGTACCACAACATATTATTTACATTACCATCCATATTAACAAGCCATACAAGAAAACACAATGTTAAAAAAGAAAAAAAGGTACCTCGTGGAGAAGCATGACCGAGTGATTGCAATAGGTGTCAAAGGATATGAATTATTAGAATCATTTGAGTTGGCAACTTTCCTCAATGCCTGTTGAGCTCTAATGCGGCCTTGCCTCTCAGCACCACAGTTTTGCAATGCAGCCTTCAAAGATCTTTCCAACTCTCGTATTTTCTCCTCATCTGCCCTTGTCTTTCTTCTCCAAAACACAACACCTATAGCTGCTGCTGATGCAGAAAGAGCAGCAAGTGCTATGGAGATTGTAAGCAACTTGGTTGCCGCCATGAAAAAATAACGACCTAGAACGAAAGACAAGCATAGATATTGATGACCTTCCTCATTTGAGAATTTATAGATAGATAAAATAGAGTTACAAGTTTATTGAATTTTATAGGAACTTTTGGCCTAAAACATCCCTTAAACTAAATCCAGTAGTATTTGCAACATCTTTTTTCTTAACAGCATAAACGAAAACACGTGACTTCCCCCCTCAATCTCTCAATTCTATCCTCCCCCCGATCATCGTACACCTTCATTGCAACTAAGGCTTCAAAAAACATCACTTTTCTTCATTCTAAACTTCATAGAATAATCTAGACCAAAGTTAAACAAAGAAGAGATTAAAGCAAGTTATTCTCCTAAACCATAACACATGACCTCCCCCTCAATCTACCGTTCAAAAGTACTCCTTAGAGCTGTGTTGCTCGGACTTTTCAAAAATGTCGACAGGTGCATGTTGTATCCTCCAAAGTAGTGCATTTTTATTTTTTTGGAGGATCTAACAAGAGTGCAACAACATTTTGGAGAGTCCGAGCAACATTGGCTCATAGTTGATTTATCATGGAAACAACTCAACAGTGAATTCAATTTCTTTCAGGCATTTTAACAAACAGGTAAGGGGCATCTCAACACTAACCAATTAAAACACTTCTTAACAAAGAGAAAAATTAGGAACTTTAACTTTTACCTTTGTTTCATGAAGCGCAGCTACAGCAGAGGAAAGACAAATTGTGTCAAAACCATAGCTTTTTCCAGTTTTAATGGCGTAAAAAGAGTTGAGACTGAAAGAAAAGTTCAGTTTTTTTTTTTAAGTTTTGAAAAGGGGACGAAACAGGGGAGTTTGGAGGGATAGTCACGTGATTGGCACGTGTTTTTGTTGACCAAATAGAAGGATGATTGTTGTAAGTTGTTTGGTTCGGAGACTAAATTATCTCGGATTATAGTTGTGAGATTATAATTCTTAGATTAATTTATGAAAAAATTACCTAAGTATACAATTTATTTTACCATATTCTCTAAAATTCTCTATCATTTGAATTTTTTTTACGAAAGTCCCTACTCTTTCATATTCTTGGATACATCACGATACATGATGTATCATCATTATACGCAATGTATTTGGACGTAATATATCACTATGCGGAATGTATCGGACGGATACATCACTATACGCGATGTATCAGGACGTAATACATTACTTTACACGATATATCGGTCGGATACATCACTATATTGAGACGTACGAGATGTATCGGGACGTTGAGTGATGTGTCCAAAATAGAGACGCGATGTATCGGGACGTTTAAGGATATATCTGTATCCCACCAAATTTAAGGAATTTTGTAATTTGGAAAAAAATAGGGATAGAATATAATTAGCTCTCGACACTATGAGATTTATGTAAAATTCTCTTAATTTATTCATTTGAGAAGAGGTGAAATAAAATAATGATGAATTTATATCATCAACCCAACCTGGCCACGAAATTTTTGTTCACTTTTTTCATAATTGAACTACGACCAATTTTCAATTATCATTTTTCACTTTCAAAATAAAAACTACTTTTTTTTCAAATTTCTCTATAAACACCCACCAAGTGTTACGATAATGTGGCAAGCTTGGAAGGCTAGGACTCTTTGGTGCTTTAACAATGAATTGACTTAACCTCTTGAGGTTTGTGAATCTGCGTATCTAATACTCTCTCCAGAACCCACTTGTGAGATTACACCAATGAACTACACCAACAATTTGACTTAACCTCTTGAGGTTTGCGAATCTGCGTACATAATACTCTCCCAGACCCCACTTGTGAGATTACACGAGATATGTTGTTGCTGCATCAGATTTGGTATATATTTATGATGATTCTTAGATTCTACAAACAGTCTACTTGAACAATGAATAAATGACACTTGATGAAATAATAGGGAGCAAAATAGCTGATAAAATCAGCTCATCAAGTTCTTTCAATTAAAACTTGTGGCTTTACAGGTCTGTAAACATACAAATGTGATTGTGTAAACAGTAGTGAGCTTTCATCCAAGGATAACAAGTGTAGTGAAAATTTCTACTAGAGAGAGTAAAGCTGTAAAATTGAGTTGTGTTGATAAGAAGTTCTTTAGGAGCATCCAACTGTTTCTGGAACCCCGTTTGATCTGCAAAGAATGTGTAGTCAAAACAACAAAAAGACCAGAATCACCGGTTCTGGAGAGCTTCAATCGCCTTTTTCCACTGTTGTGCTCGGTTTTTGGCATCCTCGAATGACATAACTTTCTTTGGCTGTATGATCACAAGATGAATGCACAAAGATAGCGGAAATGAGTTAAACTACACATGTCTTGGCTAAAAGTAACAAAAACTTGACTAACAACGTAATATGCAGGGAAAGCAAAGGGACTTAACTGTACAAATCTTGAACAGTGAAGGGCTTGTGACTTGAATGCTAAGATCATTAGGATTGTCGGACCATATAATGTTTCCTTTGATTACCAACTTTGAGGGATCTACATAAATCAACTTTGGTTTATTTGTTAGGATTAGCTGAACTTTCTTGCTTGTGAGTTTCTGCAACTTTTTCACCATCGAGATCATGAGGACGGATTCACCAGGATCCAAAAATTGCTTCCTATTGATGCCATCACAAGAAACAAGTCAACATAAAGTAGTTATCAAAAGGGAAGAGAGAAAGAGAGCATTTGGTCCATATGGAATTATGAAACTCTATTGAAAAGGTTAACAAATATGACAGCATCCGAAATATACTGGAGTGTTTTTCATTATTCAGTCAGGAGAAGTTCATGAACCTACCATTTTGAGTCAAAGGAGTCGATTGATGCGAGCCTGGTGATACTGCTACCAGCTTCAGAAATTGATGCAGCAGCACCGTTTCCATCGTTAGGTCTAACTGAACCATCTCCAATGTGTGATGGATTCCATGAAGGATCTTGCTCATCACCACTGCTATGAGTTGACGGGGCCTGAATGATTCATAACTAGAACTGTTTAACTGGAAAAGAACTATCTATTGGGGCAAGTAAGACCTAAAACATAAAGCAAAATGAATGACATACTTTTGGCTCCATGGCAAGCCTTGGAGGGGTCTGCGATCTCAAATTCTCCCAATCGATCCCACTAAAGAAAGGATGATTTTTCAAGGAAGCATAACCATCAGGTCCAGCACCAGGTCTTCTGCTAGGATCAATATCCTGAGTTGTTTTTTGCACTTAAGTCAATCAGCAGAACGGATAACACTAATAGGAAGATATATCTAAGATACTAACATACATACTCCATTATTTTCATGGATTATTCATTACTGTATATCCTTCTCAAACCTGCTTTGATATGGCTTCACTTAAGTCAAGCATCTATCGGAAACAACCTATCTACCTTACCTTCACAAGGTAGGGTTAAGGTCTGCGTAACACCACCCTCCCCAGACCCTACTTGTAGGATTACACTGGGTATGTTGTTGTTTGTTGTAGTAAATGTAGTGTTTGGGCCAGCTAGCGCGCACCTAGACTAATTCCACAGGGTACCCTCTACCTCCCGCCAGGACAGTTACCTGGTAACTCTGTCCACCAAGGCTTAGACAGATGAAAGAAAACACCTAGTGTTTTTGCCTCAGCTGAGAATTGAATCCAAGAATTCATGGTTCTCAGCCTATTTCATTGATCACAAGGTCACACCCTTGCGTTCACCAACCTAAAGTTCTATAACCTGAAACTTCATCGGAACTAGTGAAAGACAATGTAACACGTTGCTCACATTAGCACAAAAGTCCCACAATATACAAGCAACTTTCTTTTCCACTACTGGATAATAATTAATAGCTGCAAGTAACAAAAAATTATAACCAGCAAAACTGCACTTGCAAGCCAGCACATGGAGGACAAAGCTTCTGCCTCTATATTTTGAAATTTGAATGTTAAAAACTATATACTATATCCTATTAGAAAGAACTAAGTTGTCGAAGTCTCGAAGATTGTTGAAAAAATTCATCCTCTCTATGTAAGAAGAAGTTGAAAAATATGAAAGGTCTATGTCATGTAAGCATTGCAGCTTTGGTGGTATTTCAACACCCAGAATTTTTTGTAATGATATTACATAGTATATAACTCTCTAAAACTGCATGACAGTCATGCTGTACAGTGCAGACAAAACAAGATACAATAAGTACGTCAGAGATTAATCATTTCCAAAAGGACTACTTAAGAAGCGGAAGTTACATTTTTCCAATGCACTTTTTTTACTTAATTCATAATAGGATAGGTATCGATTGCAGATTATAAAATAGGTATAAAATTGTAGGGATATTCCCTGTTTCATTCACAAAAGATAAAGGTCAATAGACAAAGATATGGTCCACGACTGAGAACAAATTAGCTACAACTTTTGATCAGGAATATTATAATTCCACAAACAAAGCTGGTCATCCCTCATTTCAAGGAGGAGTGTTGTTTAAAGTAGAGACAACACTGTTTAAAGATGAAAGTTCAGTCAAATGGAGAAGTATAAAGTATAAAACATAAAAATAAAAAAAGCTAACATAATAGGGGAAGTAAAAAGAGGAACCACAGAATGGAAGTGAATATTAAATACGAAATGATAGCGTACCAGCAGCTGATCAATAATATCTCTGGCTTCATTTGAAAAATAATTTGGGAATCTAATATCTCTGGCAATGATTCTCTGGAAGATGAGCCATTCACTGGCATCTTTAAACGGAGAAGTTCCTGAAAGCATTTGATACAATGTGCAGCCAAGTGCCCAAAGATCATTTCTGGTAGGACATATCCAAAACGAATACTGATGTTAGACAAATACGATACATAATAAAAGAAATGTAGACGCTAATACGAACAACCTGTAAAAATTTAAAAGGAGCAAACATGCAGACATGGACCTACAACATATGTCCTGATAAAACACAAAGAAGAAAAAAACTATGGCTTTTCCAAGGATAGAGTTCCATACCCAAAAGTCGCAGGAGAAGAATTTAAAACTTCAGGAGGGACATAAGCGGCTGTTCCCACAAAAGTACAGGCTTTGTCATCTGAATAAAAAGAACAACCAATGATTCAATAATGATCAAGACGACAATATACTCTCATCAGGTTAATGTGAATCCAATTTCGAGGAGAGTGTCGTCGTAGAAAGCAATATTTACCTGATGCAGCATTTGGAAGGACTGTTATTCTGCTATCCTGCATTGGCTTTACACTGCCAAAGTCTGCAATTTTAATATGTCCATCTGAAGTAAGAAGCAGGTTCTCTGGCTGCCAATAAGCGAACTGTCAGAATCCCCCCGCCATATATTATTCACGTAACAGTCCACTTTGTGAAATACCTTAATGTCTCGATGAATCAATCCCATACTATGTATATATTCAAGAGCATCTACAACTTCAGCTGCATAAAAGCACGCCTCATCTTCAGACAAACGGCCTTTCTGCACCCACAAAGTTAAAAGTACATTGTTCATGATCCTCTCTTGCTAGCCAATCAAACAAGAATATCAGCACATCATACATGTAGTCACAAACTTTAGAGAAAAGAAATATTTTGAAGAAAGGACAGGAACATTTCCAATAAGTTCATGAAAATACCAATGTTCGACATGAAAAAGCAGAATATACAGGGAACCTTTGAGAAGATGTTCATTCTTTTGGGAAGTTGGAAAGAATAACACAGCAACAGACACCTTTTAGAACATCAAGGTATATAGACTAGAAACTTTTTTTGATGGCTACATTTCAGCCTATGGAACTCAACCATTTAGCTTTCATTCAAAGAAGTACAATATCCATATCTGTAATACTCTGCAAAAGGTTCACGGGTTGACAGGAACTTCCATTTTTCTTTTTGCATCGGGTT